CAATGAAAATCTGGCCAAAAGTAAATTAGTAGTTAATTCACTAAGAGTACAAAACATAGCTCAAAAGCAAAGCCTAAGACAGAATGTGTTTTGTCTTGTAACCAGCATCATGCTTAGATATCTCCATTGGCAATTCTCTCAATTAGGAGGGCCTTAATATAATCAGCCTCTTGATCAAATTTACAAAGCCATATGGCAATGTTTGTGATGCCTTCTCGATATCAGGCTTTATTTATTCATCAAGTTGGATCCCTTGGTGTATTTGAAAGCACCATGGTGTGGTTTAGTGGAGCATGTGAGATCAGCTTTCGTTCATCTTTATTTTATGAAAGGGGGAAATCCATGAAATGAGATGAAGGGAAGGAAGAAAACGAGAACACTTCAGTGGGAAAAGAACAAGGCATCTGGAAACTGACGCAAACATAGCACAATGCCCTAAGAGCCCCAGCTCCCAATGAGGACACACGATTGGAAGTTTAGTTTTTTATTGGCAAAGCACTTGATTGCATCGGCTCCTAAGGTGCAAGAATTACAGGTACTGCTCCTGCTAAATAGCTAGCCTTGCATCTTCTTCTTCAGACTTCTTGGAGCAACAGCACAGCCACATCTCCATCAGCACTTATGTCGTGCACGCAATCAAACTAGCGACTTATCAAGTTGCAGCTGCTCCTAACACTTTAAACCCCTCCTCATCCTTGGAGACAGTAGGGCAGTGATGGCCAAACTTGGCCCTCCAGCTGTTTAGGGACTATAATTCCCATCATCCCTGACCATTGGTACTGTTAGCTAGGGATGATGGGAGTTGTAGTCCCAAAACAGCTGGAGGGCCAAGTTAGGCCATCACTGCAGTAGGGGAAGGGGCACAAGATATTGTCTCTGGGACTGCCTCTTCCACCTCTACACCTCCCTGCATCTCTTCCCCTGCCTTCTCTTCTCCAGTCTCTGACTGTCTGGACCAGGCTTCCTCAACCTCTGCCCTCCAGGTGTTTTGAGACTACAATTCCCATCATCCCTGACCACTGGTCCTGCTAGCTAGGGATCAGAGGAGTTGTAGGCCAAAAACATCTGGAAGGCCGAGGTTGAGGAAGCCTAGTCTGGACTCTTACTCTTCCCCCTGCCTCATTGGTGCCACAAATCACTGGCCCCTCCCCCAGACCATCCTCCTGGGCCCCTGCCTCCTCTAACCACCATTTGGACTCCTCCCTGTCCCTGACACACAATTAGAGGCTGAGGACCAGGAATGGGGGAGAAATTCACTCCTACCTATTTCATACTTAGCAAAATAATACACAAACAGGCATCTGATCAGCCACTGCTTCTGGTTCCTTTTGTATAGGTATTTTAAACTTTTTTTAAGTCTTCATGTATCAAGCCCCAATATGTCTTAGTTTTTTCGCAGCTCCACCAGGTGTGGAACATTGTTCCCTCCACTTCCCCAAATTTCCTTTTGTTTATAAATTTTGTCAAGCTTGGATGGTGTTAGGTACCACCTGAAAAACATTTTCTTGAAATTTTCTTTTATAGTGTAGCATGCCGTGAACCTAATGTCAATACGCTCTCCTTACATTCTTATGTCTATATATATTTATTATATTATAATAATACATATAACGATCATGATGATAGCAATTTAATGTCAAAATAGGCTTCTAAGTTTACTAAGTATAAAGGCCAGTTTCACAACCACTATTTTAACTATGACTGTTTAGATTTTAATGGGATTTTTAAATTGTGCTTTAGGTATGGAAGATTATTTTCTACCATAAAACAATCACATTAAAATATAAACATCTATAATCAAAATATGAAATAAAACATTCTCATTAAAGCAACAGCATAATTAAAACAGGAGACCGAGGTCAAGAGATCAAGGGGCTGCCTGTATAAGCAGCTGTGTCTTCAGAAGTCAAAAGAAGGTTCTTATAAGAATGCAAGACCCAGTCCCCCTTCCTTTTGCCAGCCGTTGGTCTTTCCTATCTTCAAGATCAAACGGAGCACTAAGAATTTTACAATATGAGTTATCACCCTTCAGAATTCCATATCCCTCACACATTCCCCCACAGAGAAATAAGAGTATCTGTCAGGAGTGCGTGCAGGAGCCAGGCCCTGTGACCAGTAGGGCTTCGCAGGACTGGGGCCTTCCTAAGTTTGTTCTGGAGAGGTAAGGCACAGCCGCACAGGTGAGGCAACTTGGTAACTCACTGCACCTGGTGGCAAGAGCCGGGAAGGGATATAAGTTCAGCATTTCCCTTCAGCTCTTTGCCACAGCAACACATTGCCTGCCTTGCTGTGTTTGGCTCCTTGCTTCCTGATCCTCGGACCTCGGCTTCTTGACTCCTTGTTTCTCGACCCTCGGACCCTTGGCTTTGTGACTCCTTGTTTCTCGACCCTCGGACCCTTGACATTTGATTCCCTGCTTTCTGACCCTCGGACCCCTGGCTTCTGGACTCTTGTTCCTGCTCCCACCCCGCCATCTTGCCTCCAGTCCCGACGTCCTCAACCGGGACTTCAATCACCTGTAGACCAGACCGTGACAGTACCACTCCCACCTGGAGTACTGTGTCACAGTTCTGGACACCACAGTTTAAGGTGGATATCGACAAGCTGTAACATGTGGTTCCAGGAATGGTTCACAGAGTTGGGTGTGTTGAGCCTGGGGAATGAGAAGGCTAAGCAGTGATATGATAGCTGTCTTCAAACATCTGAAGGGACTGTCACATGGAAGATGGAGCAAGCTTGTTTTCTGCTGCTCTAGAGGCTAGGATCCTGGCTAATGGGTTCAAATTAAAGAAAGGAGACTCCAAATAAGCACTAGGGAGAACTTTCTGATGGTAACAGCTGATCAAGAATGGAACGGACTAAGTCAGAAGATGGACTCTCCTTCCTTGGAGATTTCTAAACAGAGGTTGGGTGGCCATCTGATAGGGTCCTTCGCAAGGGTTGGACTATATGACCCTCGGGACCCACCCATGCATTTTATGATTCTATGCTTTCTCTCCTTATAATGAGTCTCAGTAATGGGTATCAGTACCTAGAATCAATGCAATAGCTTAAAACAGTAATAATCAGCAATTGGAGAAGTTGTGCACGAACTGCTATAAATTCACTTTGTTCCCTCACACACCTACACAATCATCCAAGGCAAATGGTGAGCTTTTTGAATCCCCCTTGGGAACAGGAAATGATTCAGTATTAATTCCAAGAGGAAATGAACTGTAAATAATGCAGATCATGTAACCAACTTTGCCGGTGGCCAAATTCTCAGGAGAATATTTATCCCCGAGATGAATAGTGCTGTCACATTAAAAGCAAAGTTCACACCGGAGAGGAGTTTTGCCTGTATAAATATCTGTCCAGCCTTTTCTTCCTTAGATTGCATTGAACAATGGTAATTGTGACGCACCTGAGCAGAAAATTAGATTTCTTTTTGTTCTAAAAACTGATCATCAGAGCTCCACTCACATAGAGCAGATTTTTAAAAAAATTAATTCCTCAGCAGGCAGTGTCACAACGACATCCTGTAAGCATAGAATCAAGATCAGGGGAAACCAACATGGTGTCCTCCAGTTGTTGTTGGATCCCAACTCCTGCCACCCCAAGCCAGCATGACTAATGGTCAGCGATGATGGGAGATGTAGTCCACAACATCTAGAGGGCAAAATAGCACCAAGAGAATATCGTTAAATGTGCAATTTCTTGAAGAAACCTATTCAGAGGTATGTTTACGAAAGGGCTTTGTTAAGGTGATGTTGGGGAGAAATAGCCCTAGATAAAAATAAAAGACATTGAGGTCTAGGAGCATGGCAAATTACTTTACAAAGTCCAACTATTGGCCCATTTAGCTCAATATTGCCTCTATACTGTCAGCAGCTGTTCTCCGGGGTTTCAGACAAGGATATTTCTCAGTCCTAACTAGAGGTGCCAAGTTTTGACTCTGAAAACTGCATGCTAAAAATGTCCTCTACCACTGACCTATGGCCTCTCAACAACATATTTTGGCAGTGATTCTAAAGTACTGTTATATATCATTGTCATAAGCCTGCTTTTATTTCAGCAGACTTTCAGTATTTGGCTGTCTGCTCTTGGGAGGTAGTACCGTATTTTTTGCTCTATAAGACTCACTTTTCCCTCCTAAAAAGTAAGGGGAAATGTGTGTGCGTCTTACTGATCTGGCTTCTGAGATTCAGAATTTTTTTTGTTTGTTTTCCTCCTCCAAAAGCTAGGTGCGTCTTGTGGTCTGGTGCATCTTATAGAGCGAAAAATACGTTAGATGACACTATTTTGCTGTTGCTATGTTTTTATGGTTTTGTTTACATTGCCTTGTTTTGTATTTTTATTCAGCTATGGCTTTATGCATTTCATTTTTGTTCTGTTGTTTACTTTGAGCGTACTTCTATAGCGAGGGTGGGCAACCTGTGGTCCTCTAGATGACCCTGTACTACAATGCCCATCGTCCATAACATTCAACTATTTTGGCTGGGGAGTAATGGGACTTGGAGTCTAACAATATCTGGAGAGACACAGATTCCTCACCCTGTTCTACAGAAATGTGACGTCTGAATAAAGTTATAACAATAATCATCCATGACCCTTTCATGGAGTCTGAGAGATTCCCAATGCTTTAGTCCTGTATCTTTGCCTTCAAAACTTCCTAGAAGTATGATATGTAAAACAAAAACAAACAAAAAAACAACCCCACACCGGTAGGTCTAAATATTTAACAAATTCTTATCTTAACTGCTGCTTCAACATAAAGCAGTGATTGTGCTTTTAATTGAAAATGTGTCAACATTGATTTATTTTTCTCAATTTACTTGCTGGGCTCAGAGTTCAATACATTTTTTAATGAAACCCCCCGTTTTGGCGTGTATGCTAAAATATTTTTTGTGTGTGATTTTGGTGGTTTAAAACACTGCATTATTTTGCTGTTGTGGGTGGGAGACAAGCCTAAGCACAGGGATTTCATGAGCCCCTCTTTTGCTAGTTTTAGTGAAGAAGGGCTGTGGCTGAGTGGGAGAGCACTTGCTTTCAACACAAAAGTTCCTAGGTTCAATCCCTGCCATTGGGAATGCCCCCTGTTTGAACCCCTGGAGAGCCACTGCCAGGGTAGACAATACTGACAAGATGGGCCAATATTCTAACTCCGTATAAGGTAGGTAAAGGTAAAGGTAAAAGGACCCCTGACCATTGGGACCAGTTGCAGACGACTCTGGGGTTTCAGCGCTCATCTCGTTTTATTGGCTGAGGGAGCCGGCGTACAGCTTCCGGGTCATGTGGCCAGCATGACTAAGCCGCTTCTGGCGAACCAGAGCAGCGCACGGAAATGCCGTTTACCTTCCCGCCGGAGCAGTACCTATTTTTCTACTTGCACTTTTGGGGTGCTTTCAAACTGTTAGGTTGGCAGGAGCTGGGACCGAACAATGGGAGCTCACCCCGTCACGGGGATTCAAACTGCCGACCTTCTGATCGGCAGGCCCTAGGCTCTGTGGTTTAGACCACAGCGCCACCTGCATAAGGTAGCTTCCTATATTTCTATGCAGGACCAGGGACAGCTCCCCCAGCAACCTGGTCACTCCCTGCTAGCGTTTCGAAATCTCCCCAGTGTTGTTCTTATTTCTCTCTGCGCATGGCCTTTGTGAGGTCTTGGCTCTGAAAATTGACTAATAAATAGCTAGAATAAATACATAAAGAACCTCCCATGGCGATTAAAGAGAGAGTAATCTTGAGGCTGTCAAACTGACTTGCGCCACACTTTTAATTAAATGCTCAGTGTGGATTTATTTCAAACAGAACTTAGGATCAATGCATACTACAGTGGAGACAACCTCCCTTTTTATGCCCTTTCCTTCCTTTGTGGGTTCCCTCTGCCCTCTTCATCCCACTCCTCCAAAGTATCTGGTTTAACCAGAAGAATTTCTAAAATTAATGCTGGAATTGGATCCCATACTTAGCTTTCCATTTCTTGATTTCATTTTCTACCTCTCCCTTCACCCTGCTTCCCATCCACATCACCACATGGCAAGATAATCAATTGTAGCCTGATTTTACCTGGAGCCACGTCAGATATGATTGAAGCTGGAGCAGGCACCATTGGTTCAGCTAGAGTCAGTGCCAAAGGTGGCCAAGCAGATGTGAAGGGAGCATAATTGCATTCATGCCTTACTGCCTCCACGCCTGATTGCAGGCAGACTAAATGGAGGTTTCTGGGTTGCAAGCTCCCTAAAGAAGGCCAGGGAAGCTATCTCCTGCAAAACTGGAGGAGAGAAAGGCTAAGCAAAGATGGGCCCCCAATCCTGAAGAACACGTGGCTCAGTTGGGCACCAACCCAGTCAACCCCCATGTTGCATAGGTTGAAACTCACCTGAGGAATATCCAGGGCTTGACCTGAAGCCAGGTCCAAGTCTTGAATTGCACAGGTCATTGACCTACCAGAAGGTCTATACTGGGTCCAACTTGCCTCATCTGCCTGGAGCTATAGGGCCCCAATGGATGGTGATACTCACTCTCATGTTCTGGCCTGGGAAGGGTGGTAGGCTGGAAAGTCATGTCACCATTTCCTGCAGGCAGAGGTTTTGGTCACCCATTGGCTGCAGTTCTAGGTTTAAGTTTGCTTTCAGCACCAATTGTTTCTTTCCCTCTGCAGGTATTTTATGGTTTGATTTTAAATAAAGTAGCCCATTTCAACCCAGTATACATACCTGTCTCTTTATTCAGCCATCTGGTATTTTTCCCCCATCTCACCATAGTCTTATTTGGTCTCAAAGTAATGTTAAGCCCTGTAAAGAAAAAGATTGATCTTGAGGTTTCCGGATTGACTTGCTCCAAACTTTTAATGGAACATTCAGTCTGGATTCATTTAAATCAGAACTTTGGATCAATATACATAAGCCATCTATCACCGGGTTAAAGGGCATTCCACACATTGATTATGCCACAAACCCTTCCCCAATCTAGCTTTCTCTCTCTACAAAGCCATTCAGAATGGTTAACAGTACGATCATATACATGTCTATTGAGAACAGAAATAGGTCCCAGTGACTTCCTGGTCTTACTCTCAAGTAAGCCCTGCAGCCTATAGTGAGTGCAATATGGTTCAGAGCAGGGGTAGCCAATGTAATTTTCTCTAACTGCTCTTAGATGGCAATTCTCATCTTCCCTACCTATCAGCCATGTTGATTGGGGCTGATAGGAGTTGTGGTTTAACATCATCCAGAGGGCATCATGTTCACTTAGAGCAGGACTGGTTAACTTTTGGCCCATCAGATTCTGCTGAGCTCCAACTCCCATCAGATCCCATCATCATCATCACCATCATCATCATCATACCTTTATTGTCAATGTACAACCTGTCTACAATGAAATTAACCTAGCCTCCCTCCCCCACACACAAACAATCTCATTGTGCTCTGTGTGCTTGTCACACAACACACCAACCCCGAAAGTCAGTTGCACTATATTATTTTCCGTTCAGCAGCCTAACAGCCCACGGATAGAAACTGTTTTTTAGCCTGTTGGTACAACTGATTATACTTCTATATCTCCTGCCCAAGGGTAGAAGATTAAAGAGATGTTGGCTGGGTTGTGAATAGTCCCTGAGAATTTTTCTCACTCTCCTAAGACAATGATCCCTTGCGATGTCATCTAGCAGGCTCAGGGGACAGCCCATGATATCATGGGCTGTGTTCACCACCCTCTGTAAAGACTTTCTGTCTGTGGCTGTCAAGCCAACTTACCACACTGTGATACAATATGAGAGGACACTTTTAATTGTGGACCGGTAGAAGGAGGTCAATTGTTGTTTAACACTGTTCTTTCGCAAGACCCTGAGAAAATGGAATCTCTGTTGGGCCTTTCTAACCAGCTGAGTTATATTGTTTTTCCAAGTGAGGTCTTCACTAAGGTAAACTCCCAGGAATTTAAAGGAAGAGACTCTCTCCACACACACACACACACAATATACAACAGGGCAAGTTCCCCTCTCTCCCTCCAAAACTCCAACACCATCTCCTTTGTCTTGCTAATATTTAGGAATGTAAGAGGTTTCCCAGACCTGGCTTAGAAGGTGAGCTGAGAAATCTGGGTTTCAAACACTACCCCTTTAAAAAAAATATCTTTCCTTGATCCAGAACACAAATAAAGTGCTCTTACCTGAAGGAGCGTCTCTACCCCCATCGTTCAGCCCGGACACAGAGATACACCTCTGAGACTCTTCTGGCAGTTCCCTCACTGTGAGAAGTGAAGTTATAGGGAACCAAGCAGAAGGCCTTCTCAGCAGTGGTGTCCTCCCCTCTGGAATGCCCTCCCATCAGATGCCAAGGAGATAAAGAACTATCAGACTTTTAGAAGACATCTGAAGGCAGCCCTGTATCAGGAAGTTTTTAACGCTTGACATTTTATAATGTTTTATATTTTCCTGGAAGCTGCCCAGAGTGGCTGGGGGAATCCAGCCAGATGGGTGAGGTATCAATAAAATTATTATTATTATTATTATTATTATTATTATTATTATTATTATTATTTATCATCCATGCAACAGACATCAGGCCAAGAAACAGATAGAAGTCACTGCAAAATGTGCAGCGACATTCCTAAGCAACCACAAGCTTTGTCACTTTTATGACAGCTGACCTTGGAAAAGAGTTGACAACAAATGGAAGTTGTATGAAATAATTGTGCCAAGGGAGACAATAGACAAAGCAAACGAAGATAACTCAAGGTAAAGGCTTCATAACATAGACTCTCCTTGAATGTTTTGCTCTCTAGAGAAAAGGTTTTTGTTTTCCTTTTAGAATAACAAAACAAAATGTTACAGAATATTGTCTAAACCGGAAGTGTGGTTTCACCCCATTTCAGCTTTAAGGACCCCAGAGAGAAGAATTAATAGGCACCATACTAGAGATAGATACAGAAACAAATTCTTTATTATGTAGTGATGGGCCCGAGCAAAATAAAACCAGCAACTGTACCAGTAAAATACTGTGACATACAAAATACAGTGGTACCTTGGGTTACAGACGCTTCAGGTTACAGACTCCGTTAACCCAGAAATAGTACCTCGGGTTAAGAACTTTGCTTCAGGATGAGAACAGAAATCGTGTACCGGTGGCCCGGCGGCAGCAGGAGGCTCCATTAGCTTAAGTGGTACCTCAGGTTAAGAACAGTTTCAGGTTAAGAACGGACCTCCAGAACAAATTAAGTTCTTAACCTGAGGTACTACTGTACCCTAAAGTGGGTTGCAATACATAAATCATATATCAGGAGTATCTAAAACATGTTTAAAATAATATATACAACATGACAGCTTAAAATACAGAAGCAAATAGTGAACTTTTTTAAAAGTAGCATAACCAGATTAAAAATTGTAATTTATGAGAACAGCAGCTGGTCAGGATAGGTTTAATTGGGAGATAGTTCATTTCATGTTTCTACAGCTGGAAAGAGAAATCTAGCCACAGTCTCTGTTAGTAATTTGTTTGAATCTGCCAAGAGGTACGCCAGATAACATGCATAAGCCTGATCTGCATTTACCAATCCTGGTAGAAATTACAGGCAAGAAGCACATGAGCCAAAGATTCCATACGTAACTCGCTCTGCAAGAGATAGATAAATCTGTCAATTTGAGTCTCTGGGCTACTTGGTTTCCCCCTCCCAATTTTCAGTTGACTACATTTTTTGTATAAGTTTGCGTTTTGGAGGTAGGGGGGAGAAAATTCTGTCAGAGCATCTTTGAGAGTGATGTTTGTGCACCCATGTGTATCGTGATATTGCGTGTCACTGGGATGCTTCACTGATCAGCTCTTTTCATGTATCCTGACTTTATGTTTGGTTAAGGGTGAGTTATTGCTGAATCTGATAGAAACTGGGGAAGCAGCTGGCAGCAGGAGTTGCCGGTGGTGAAAAAAGGAGGAGGAAGCGTAAGCACAGAGCAGAATCAGACAAATGTTGGGATGAAGGGAAATGATTTGAGGATAGTAATGGATAAATGATTCTTTCATGTACAATGGCCTGGGTGGGTGGTCTGTTAGGGGGAGGCAGGCGTGCTAGAAAAGGTAATAGCAATCAACATCTGAGTATGCACAAAGATGGCAGTAACTGATGCTTAGTCATGCCAGGAACACAGGAACCTGCTGTTTACATTGGTCCATCTAAAAGGTAAAGTCAAAGGACCCCTGGATGGTTAAGTCCAGTCAAAGGCAACTATGGGCTTGTGGTGCTCATCTCGCTTCCAGGCTGAGGAAGCCAGTGGTTGTCCACAGACAGCTTTCTGAGTCATGTGGCCAGCATGACCAAACTGCTTCTGGCACAATGGAACACCGTGATGGAAGCCAGAGCGCACGGAAACATCGTTTACCTTCCCACCTCAGTGGTACTTATTTATCTACTTGCACCGGTGTTCTTTCGAACTGCTAGGTTGGCAGGAGCTGGGACAGAGACACGGGAGCTCACCCCGTCATGGGGATTTGAACCACCAACCTACTGATCGGCAAGCCCAAGAGTGGTTTAGACCACAGTGCCACCTGCGTCTAGCTCCATATTGTCTACACCAACTGGCGGTGGTGCCCTAAGGTTTCTGACAGGGAGCCCTACTAGGAGATGCCAGAGATTGCACCTTCAGCAAGCAGAGCTTGTGCTCTATCACTTAGCCACTGCCCTCTAAGCTGAAGGGCAAGCAGCAGGTATACAGGCTCCCTTTCCACTCTTCTATATAGACTCAGATATCTTTCTGCTGGAGTTTGCAACCTGCACATGCATAGTGAGTATGCATGCGCAGGCACTACCAATTATCTCCTATTCAGTACTGATGAGGATTACAAAAAATAGTCAGCCATCATCCAGGCATTTTCAAGCCCATTGGATTTGACTTACCAATTTTGACTTCAGCAGGCATCCCCTCTAAATAGAACCTTCAGCTTCAAAGGAAGTATGCCTTTGGATACAAGTTGCAGGATGAAGGCACACATCAGGGAAGGGCTACTGCCTTTGTGGCCCGCTTGTGGGCTTCTCTGAAGCATCAGATTGGCTGCTGCGAGGCACAGGTGGCTTGCCCCGGAGACTAATAATTCATTTTGGGCTGATGTTTCCTTAAAAAGAAAACTAGCTAATTGAGGTTTTGCAAATGCTCTTCTATTCACTGATTCAATCAATTGATGATTCTGTTCAAAAGGAAGATAATTCACCAGCCGCAAGTCTGTAATGGGTCGACATCCCTGTTTTCTTTCCCCCCTTGTAGAACCAAAATGACATAAGTAGCAGTTAAATGTCAGTGGGAATGCATGCTCAGTTATAATGAATTGCACTTGTTACCCAAACAAGTGTACCCTTAACAAACGAAAACGAACAATGCTACACTTTATTTACATCATTATAGCCCACAATTGCAGTCAACAGAGATGGAACACACTCACTTTCCAATGGAACTCCGACATAAATTACCACCTAGTTCATTGCCAAAACCCCTCCAGTCTTATAGGACGATAGTGTTTATTTCTTGTGCAGCTCCTCTCATGTGCATGATTTACTCATATTTTATTTAAATATGCCTGAGTGTTTTCAAACAACGTCTTGTCCACAGGCACTTGTAACGGAGTGTGAAATATTGCTCAAATGAAGGTGAGGGGATGCTTTTAATTTGTCCCTTGCTTCCCAGCATTTACCAAGACATATTCACCAGGTCACAGTCCTGATGTTAGGTTTGAAGAAAGCAATCAGATGTTACAGAGAAAGAGGAAACTGTCTTGGACCACATCTGACTACTTGTCCACCTCACTTAGTGTTGTGTACTCCAGGCCTAGGGGGTCTGAGGGCCAAATGTGGCCCTCCAAGCTTCTTTATTTGGTCCATGGGACTCTCCTCAGGCCACACTTCACCCCAGCTGACCTCCTCTCCCCAGGCCATGCATCTCACTGGCTTCACACCCTTCTTTTGAATTTTCCAGCTGGTTGGAATGTGTCCTTAAACTCTGGCGGCACCTCTTGCTAGCCTGGTTGATGGGCAGAGAGAGAGGTGTGCGTGTAGAAACTAGCCTACTGTACAAAGGTAACATTTATATTAATTGCCCCAGCCACTTTGGGCTCTGGCCCCTTCCACTACTTCCCAGGAAATTTGTCCTAAAGGGCATGTGGCCCTCTGGCTGAAAAGAAGATCCACCATCAGTTAATGTAGATAATATTGAGCTCAATAAACCAGTGGCTTGATTCAGTAATAAGCAACTTCCTTTTTTAAAAAAATGATATTTATTACTTTTTTAACATTTCTACACAAACAAAAAAAGAAAAAAGAAAAGAAAAAGAAAAAACAATGCAAATACAATACACAAACACTACATGAACTAAAAAAACAAATAAACAAATAAAGACAAGCAAAAACAGTTTAAAATCACCTCAAACATTTTCAATATTTTATATTTCATTCCCTTATTTCCAGCGACCTCCTCCCTTTTTGTATTCCACTTCTATTATTTGTTTCAGCAATTCCTTTCCATCTTACTCTGTTTTCTATCCTATAATTATCTTAACACATTCTTACCTTATTTTTCCTTTAATTTTCTATTAATCTATTTATACCTAATTCCTTATGACATTTCTACTAAAGCCATATAATTTCATTCCAACATTTTTCTAACGTTCCTTAATTTTACAATATCTCTATAAATGGTCTTTAAACTTTTTCCAATCTTCTTCCACCGACTCTTCACCCTGGTCTCGGATCTTGCCAGTCATTTCCGCCAATTCCATATAGTCCATCAATTTCATCTGCCATTGTCCAACGCTTCAATGTTTTCAGAAAGCAACCATTCTCTCAACCAGCAAAAAGCAGATGGTTCACAGCAAAATTTAAAAGGTCTAGCAGGGCAGGTCCTCCTCCTTCTTTGGCATCCATCAATATCTTAAGTTTTACTCGAGGCTTCCTGCCCTGCCAAACAACTCTAGAAGCATCCCTCTGCCACCTCCTGAAACCCTCCATCCCATCCAAAGCTTGCAGTGTTTGAAACAAAAGCAACATCCCCAACAGCACAGCAGCCCTCATCCCCACCACAATAACTCGGCCCAACAGTGACAACTTCTGATTTGTCCATATTTCCAAATCCCCCTTCTCTTCAATCCAACATCCTTCACAGTTATCCTTAAGCAGATTCACATTTTTGACAGTCATGTCAACCCCCAAATACCTCTCTTTCTCAACCAATGTTAGTATCACCTCCTGAAACTCTGTCAGGCTTTCCTTTTCCAATTCAGATGGGGCTCTGGTCCTCAAATTCATCCGTTCTTCTTTAAGTTCAATCATAACGTATGTCAGTTGTCTTTGTATGGATGGAACTCTCCTCTCCAGTTGTATTATTTTAGATTCAGCAGCAAGGGTTTTTCCCCTGACTTCATCTGCAGTTTGCCGTATCGAAGTAAATTCCTGTGTCAGTTTCTGAGTGGTTTCTGAATTGGTATTCACCTTTTGTCCCAAGTTGTTTAAGCTTTCTACAGTTGAATCAATTTCAAAACTTGCAACATCCAATTTCACATTTCTCGCATCTATTTTCTTGTGGAGTTGTTCCAGCGAATCGTTTATTTTCAAAAATGCAGCCACTAAGGCCTCCTCTGTCGACATCCCGTCTGTTTTTTCCTTTCCGTTTGCCATAACACTTAAAGAATTCAAGGTCAATTCCAAAGTCTCACACTTTCTCATCTTGCAGCTGGAAAATCCCCTAGCCCAGCTCCTATCAAGTAAATTTCAAAAGCTTCCAGTAGGGGAAAACGAGTTATATTTGTATCGGTCAATATGTCCTCTTTTGAACACAGTTTCAATAATCCAAAATTAGTTTCAATTTTCAGTTACTTTCCTCCTTTTTTAATAAAGTTCAGTAAGATTGTTTCAATTTTTCATTACTTTACTCCTTTTTAAGTGCAGACGAAGACAATAGAAACAATGTATCTCTCTTATGCTAGCTATCACCGAACGTTCTCAATGAACCTTCCAAAGCACGTCGGTTTTACTGGCAGCCCGTTTCCAGGTTCGGAATGGTGGTATTTTAACTTCCTCACTCACTCCTGCAGGAATATACAATCCAAAGCCTCCCCCCTCTTCTCCTGCTTCCAAGGGGGGTTTAATATTTTTTACTGATGAGAATTTAGTCCTTTACAATGGGCTTTCCAAGACTTTAGCTTGCAGCCTCTTTGCCTCAGTCTTATTTACAAAAAGAGGAGGTGGACTTCCTGTTTTGAACCTCCCCCGTTTCGGTGCCAAATCAAAACGTTTAAAAATCCAATTCTTCACTCTACTCACAGGTAGTTGCTTTAAAATCAAATTGTCCACAGGAAAAAGTCAGCGCTCTCCGGCAACAGCTATGCGGCTTCGCTTCGTGGAAAAAGCAGTCAATCCGAAGCACTGCGCCGCTCACCCCACATCGCTCCGGATCCCCGAAATCGGGTTTCCCCGCAAGTAGGGGAGGTGCAAAAGGTGCCCACCGGATCCCACGTTCACAGGCTTCAACCGCCTGTGATTTTTAGTGGGTCTCCGCCTTCGCCGTGGCGGCCAGACCCGAATTTCCATGAGGCAAATTCCTCCCGGTCAGAGGAATTCCGCCATTGCCGGTGGCACCAACCCGGAAGTCCCCTCAGTAATAAGCAACTTCCTATGTTCTCCATCTGCATGCTCTCCATCTAGTTCAGTATTGTCTGCACCAGTGGTAATAAATCTGGTGCTCTCCTGATGTTGTTGAACGACAATTCCCATCATCCCTGACCATTGGCCATGCTGATTGGGACTGATGGAAGTTGAAATCCAGCAACATCTGAGGATACCACATTGGCTACCCCTGGTCTCCACTGCTTGACTGTGGTCCTCCAGGACTTCACCCAAAAGCCTTTCTTGGCTTTAAGTTGAGAAATCAGGGGTTGAACTTGGAACATTCTGCATGCAAAGCAGATGTTCTACCACCAAACCATGGCCCTTCCTGAACCAGATCCTTCATGACCAGGACTGGTTGATGTTCTAAGAGGCCAGGGGCAAGCAGCACAGTCCATGGCAGGTACCGAACAGAAGTCAAGGAGATAAGAAGCAGATAGCAAAGTCAGGAACATCCTGGCTTTAAGGCATTAAGGCATGCAGGAACATCCTGTATGGTAGCCTTGCTGGTGAGGTGACTCTATGGAGCAGCTGCTCTTGATGACAAGATGCTCAGGCTAGCCAGTACTAGTACTAGTCCAGAAGGTCTCCTGTCGACTCTCCACATCTGATGGCCATATGAAAGACAATAGGAAATAGCCTGCAGTGTAGATAACATTTTGCAATTGAACAAATGCTATTCCCCAGGTTATTGTGTTACAGATGGACATTCTGTCTAATGCTTTTGGATGGAGCATAAGACCTTCCTTCTCTCTGCTAGGGGAAAAGGACGAGAGAGAGGGAAATGCCATTAGTCAACATTTGTGAGTATTTAGCTTCCAATTTCCTGCTGCCATCAATCTGATCTTTCTTAATAAGCTTTGCCAAAGTGGGGGTGGGGGGACAGGGAGGTGGAAAACCGAGAGAAAGTCACTGGGGGAAAAAGTAATTTGCAGAATGATTTTTGCTTACTAACACTGAGTTATTTGCCAATGAAGCAATAGGCCTGACTATCTTTCAAGTCACGTCCTGTAGGCAAACAATTTCAGCTCTGAGAAATATGGTGAGTTTGTAGACCTCTAATGCTCAGTGCCCAAGAGTTGCTAAGGACAAAGAGGACCCCTATCAAGGTCTAAACTATATTTTGAACTATACTGGGACCAGTGAACTTGCGAACCTCCAGGTGTTGTTTGGCTACAACTATCAGTCCTGTCATATTGTCAGGATGAACCAGAGTTGGATTCCGATACCATCTGAAGGTAGATGAGGTGGAATTCCTGCTCCATCATTGCAGTTATAGGATTGTTGTCTTTCACATGACGGTATATGTTTTGACTCCACAGAGTGGGAAGTGACAGAGACAGGATGTTTCTGTTACTGTGTTCTGTGAAGTGGGACTGTTGTTCTTTGTTCTTTTTCTCTTTGCTGTCTGATGCTAGAGAGAGAGGGAGCCTTGTTGTAGTGCTCTGTGTGTGTTTATACGTAAATAAAGTAGATTAGCCAAAATGCTGAGTTGCTGGGGTTCTGTTACACAACTGTGCAAACTCTGCCGATCCCTAAGTGTGCCGGTGCCGGTTGGCATCTGTCGTTGTGATGTTCGGGCAGAAGAAAGCTTTTGAAGCTCCCGAACGATTGACCAGGAGGGAGAGAACATGCCAGTCGGGCATGTGTCTCTGCCAGGGTCCTACTAGAGTGTAGGCTGCACTCCTGACAGAATCCAGCAACTGAGTTGAATGGAAACTGGACTCTTATCTGAGGTATGCCACAAATTAGATACTCTTGATCCACACTGTGCTAATTTCTTTTTAAAAAAATGTATAACCAAAATGCCAATGTTCAGGCCTAGAGAGACACCATGCCCATTTCTACTAATATCAGATTCTGAAGAGGTTGAATGATGGCTGCTTTAGGACAGTCAAAAGCATAGGTGCTCTCTGTGTGCTCAGAGAGCATCCTCTAATTCTCATTTTCAAAAGTTTTTGGGATGAGCCACCAAACTGGAGACCCTGGTCTCAAATGTAGCTCTGTATACACCAGGTCTTCACCAAGGGTCTTAATAAGGCTCCTGGCCTTGCTCACTGCAGAAACACATGGGTTACCAAAGCTCCTGGCAAGCACAAATACAAGGCTGTCTACGGTGTTTGGCTTGGTGGGTCACATGTAAAAAGGTAAAGGTAAAGGACCCCTGGACGGTTAAGTCCAGTCAAAGGCGACTATAGGGTTGCAGTGCTCATCTCGCTTTCAGGCCGAGGGAGCCGGCGTTTGTCCACAGACAGCTTTCCGGGTCATGTGGCCGGCATGACTAAACCACTTCTGATGGAAACCAGAGCGCACAGAAACGCCATTTACCTTCCCACCAGAGTGGTACCTATTTATCTACTCACACTGGTATGCTTTCGAACTGCTAGGTTGGCAGGAGCTGGGACAGAGCAATGGGAGCTCACCCCGTCATGTGGATTCGAACCTCCGACCTTCTGATCGACAAGCCCAAGAGGCTCAGTAGTTTAGACCACAGCATTACCTGCGTCCCTGGTGGGTCTCATGCACTGCAGGCATGATTGCCACCATCGTCATTTCTGCATATCTTAGAGAAGATAGACTATCCAGGATCAGATCACCTGACATCCCAAAGCAGATATGTAGGGTACAGAAACTGGATCAGAGCCATGTTGCTAAGACAGGGAAACATGCAGCCCTTCAGATTTTGTTGGACTCCCAACTTCCATCAGTCTCAGCCAGTGTCGTCAGGGATGATGGAAGGGATATACAGTGGTGCCCCACAAGACGAATGCCTCGCAAGACGAAAAACTCGCTAGACGAAAGGGTTTTCCGTTTTTTGAGTCGCTTCGCAAGACGAATTTCCCTATGGGCTTGCTTCGCAAGACGAAGCGTCTTGCGAGTTCTTGCGAGTTTGTTTCCTTTTTCTTAAAGCCGCTAAGCCGTTAATAGCCGCTAAGCCGCTAAGCCGCTAATAGCCGCTAAGCCGCTAATAGCCGTGCTTCGCAAGACGAAAAAACCGCAAGATGAAGAGACTCGCGGAACGGAGTCACCACTGTAGGTTCCCTTTCTCTGCCCTGCACACATATTTTGTTGTGAACCTACACTGATGCGAGGCACCACTGTAGGTTCCCTTTCTCTGCCCTGCACACATATTTTGTTGTGCACCTATGGCCCCTTCTACTGCTGCCAAATGCTTGATCAGCGGGGTGTGTGACCACTGTAGAGTCACAGAATTGCCAAGTTGGAAGGGACCCCAAGGGTCATCTAGTCCAACCCCTGCAATGCAAGAATCACAACTAACGAATCACTGGCAGATGACCATCCATCCTCTGCTTAAAAGCTCCAATGAATGAGAGTTCACCACCTACTAAGGCTGACTGTTCCACTGTCAAAAAGCTCTTACCATCAGAGCTGATTACCCAGCACATCATCAGTGTGTGGGGGTCATCTAGCTGGCAAGACCCAATGAGCTTTCTGGAGGTTCATGAGAATCCCTCTTTTCCATGCAGGTGAGAATGAGAGAGGAAGGAGAGTTCTTGTAGATGAGAAGATGCTGAGGAAGGCAAAATTTAGAGGAAGGTTGGCTTCAGAATTACAGTGGTACCTCGGGTTAAGTACTTAATTCATTCCGGAGGTCCGTACTTAACCTGAAACTGTTCTTAACCTGAAGCACCACTTTAGCTAATGGGGCCTCCTGCTGCTGCCGCGCCGCCGGAGCATGATTTCTGTTCTCATCCTGAAGCAAAGTTCTTAACCTGAAGCACTATTTCTGGGTTAGCGAAGTCTGTAACCTGAAGTGTCTGTAACCCAAGGTACCACTGTAAATGACGTGGGGATTCTGATCTGGGGATGATTTGTTCCTGAACACACACACCCCGAAAAAGATCCAAAATCATTTTCAGCCTCTAGCAAAAAAAAAAAAAATGTGAGAGGGTGTCTTTTTGGCTGCTGTACTCATTTTCTGGAATTGTCTGCTTCAATATATCCAAAACTTGTCCCTTGATGACTTTCAGAAAGTGAGTTATGGTACTTAATTGTGTGTTTTTTCCCCTTGCATCAGTCTTTTGAAGGTATGATGGATAGTTCTTTTTCCTTGCTTTTGAACTGGTTGTATTGATCTGTTTTAAATGGGATTTATATATTTTTATTGCTAAGAAGCATTAAATAATTGCCTGCTTTTCTTGTAAGCTGCTGTCCAAACGATGGGGTTAAAAAAGAAGCAGAGAATGTGGGATAAAATAGGTAGCAGAATCACACGAAGAGATGGTACAAGGCTAGTCTTCTTCATGAGAAGCTGGTTTCTGAAAGTGTGGGGAGATTTTGTCCTATGAGGAAGCATTAAATTAAGCAACAACCCTTCACTTGGTAATAGGGCATGTGCTCTGCATGCAGATGGTCCCAGGTTCAATCCCAGCATCTCCAAGTAGAGGCTAAGATTATCCCCTGACTGAAAGCATGTAGAGCTGCTAGTCAGTGTAGACAGCAGTGGGCTAGATTGGCCAATGGTCTATCTCAGTATATGGGAGCAACAGGAAAAGACAGCAATGCACAGTTCTTCTCTTCCCAGTGTGCCAGGCAAAGCAGCAGCCACCATCTTGAGCTTCCCAAAATGCCTCTGTAAGATGACATAGGATACATAACCCAGAGGCATTGTGTAGACACGACCATGTTCTAATGGGTGGCCCCAGGGGCCAGTCCCAAGAAGTATAAGCCTCTTGACCAAAACACTCACCAAGGCGAGCAGGTCTGGCAGTTCAGTGCAGTCCAAACAATCCAGGGTCAAGCATGGGGAATCAGTTCAGGTCCAAAATATGACTCACTGACAAAATCAGGTAACAGTCCAAGATCAATGTCACACCAAGTCCAGGCAAGGTGCAACTCAAGAAGACAGGAAAACCATTTAGGATGTAGGAGCCAGGTATCTGTGTCGCTTCCAGCAACTGGAAGGCTCAAGAGGGAGACCTTATATACTCTGGTCTCATAGCTTATATCCTAGCCACAGCTGCTGGTGGTGGTGAAGAAGTTTTGGAGATTAATTGCACACAAAGAAATCCCTTGCTCCCAAGGTAGGTCATGACTCTGGGTCCGTAGACATGTGCTAGGTTATTGGGTTTTTTGCTCTGGACCAGACCTTTGGGCACTGGCGTTCCTGAGGACAGTGTGTGGGTTTGTGATTCTGCCTCTTTGACATATCCAGGGGGTCTTCAGGGGGCCTCCCCCCAAAGGGTCTCTCAAGGGGATCCTCACCACTGGTTCTATGGGAATGTGCTTGCTCCCCAAGGTCTTCAACTTGTGGGGTTTCTGGTTCTTCTTCTGAGGACTCAGTGTCTGGACAGACTTAGGCATGACAGAC